TAAATCTGAAATTTGTATAGTTTTAAAAAATTTCTAAATGTCCTCCGAATGTTCTCAAACTAACATGTAGGATCTAAGAAAAGCAGCAAATCGTAACGTTTTCTTCGTTTAGATACGAATATTTCAAACTTATATTAGTTCGACATGTTAGATCAGTTTTCGGAGTCTAACACAAGATTAACATTCGCTGAACGTTTTTATGCTACTTGGGTACAAACATTTCAAACATATTAGTTCAACATGTTAGATCAGTGTTCGGGGTCTAACATAAAACATGTCAAACACAAAATTAACATTCGCTGAACGTTTTCATGTTACTTTGACAGAGGTCAATAATTAGCCGTACGACGAAAGGGCTGTCGACAAACGTAAGTGTGGTTGTTTCTCTCTCGCACATTTCGCGTTTTAATATTGTACGTAGATCGAGTCTCGACGGATTGTCCCGCGAGCTCGATACCGCGTGATTTAGTGTTGAATTTATATTATATTGTGTTTCGGGTTTATAAATTGTATAAATTCTTTACTAATAATAATTATATATCGCTGCTTTTACCTTCTCCGTCACGAGCGCAACAATTCGGCTTTTGCCGTAAATCCTCTTTGCCCCTATTTGCATTTTTATATTGTTTTTTTTATACTTTGTATCGTGCTGTGTTTATTTATATGCCTGTTGCTCTCGAACAACCATTACGTGACGAATCAGCTCAAGTCAGAATTACTGAATCGAATGCTCTTTCCAAAGAATTATTGTATATCAAGAGGCACGGTAGTGCCTCGCATCAAGTTCACGCGCAACGAAGTGGCGCTCGAATTACGCGAGCACACTGTGGCTGCGTTCCGAGTTACGCATGAAGCGCATAGACTGCATAGAAAGTCGTTCCAAAATTTTTTTTTTTTTTTTTTTTATTAGAGAATAAAGGTACATACCACAAGTGCTAGCTTATGTAGCTTAGGGTAAAATACAGTGCGTAAACTATACCCCAGTCAGAAATACCTTGTCGAATCGACGTCGATTCGACGTCGATTATACTAGTCGATCGACGGTTGAAATTTGTAGTCGATTCGACTTAAAAATGGACACGAATTTCGACCAATTATTGACAAGTCGATTTGATATCGATATTATGTGCTATA